AGCGACAAGGATGGTCGAGCAACTATGTGCAACTACCAGACTTTGGTGTCGCTTCGCAAGTCGTTGACTAGCAAGGTGCATGTTCGTCTGAAGACAAACGAGGCGCTTGTTGAGAAGGGGAAACGGTTGCTAGAGGACTTGAAGAAGGAATCGATCAAAGATCTAGAGACGTGGATCTGAGACTCATGAAAAGACAGAGGATGTCAGCCCAGGAGCAGCTGCATGGCAAAAAAGCAAAGAGCGTGGAAAAGAAAGACTGTGACTCAGATTCTTCGTCTGAGAAAGGGAAGAAACGAAAGGATCGTTCTAGGAAAGCCAAGTCTTCCGTGTCCAAGGGCAAAGTGAAGAACAAGAAGAAGTCGAAGAAGGTTTCATCGTCATCTTCTTCAGCTCCATGTGCAGGTGAGGATGATTCCCAGGGTGAGAGTGGGGATGCGGAATCACATGTGGAAGATGTGGAAGAAGAAAGGGAACCCAAACGACCCCGACGTGATGATGACGACCTATGGAGTACTACTCGGTTCACACCTTCGTCGCATCAGAAATCTGAGGCGGAGGAGAAACCCAAGGAGCTCTCCGATGGCCTTCAGGAAATGCTGGCCCACACCATGTGCGAACATTTCAAGTCCCCGACCGAATCACAGTTTAAATGTCTTGTGGGGTAGGGTTGGAAATGTTAGGGTTTTCGAGATGGGGTTGTCTTTCTTGTTCGCAGGTTCATCTCATGGTGTTTGCTGTTAGATCTGTTAGTTCTTGCTAACTTTGTTATTGATTTTTCTTGGTGAGATACAGTTTGTTTATTGTAAAAAGATTCGTGGTACTTGTTGTAGTTGTAGTAGTTGTTGTAGTAGTAGTAGTAGTATTAGTAGTAGCAGCAGAAGCAACACTAGTAGTAGTAGCAGCAGGAGTAGTAGTAGCAGTAGTAGTAGTAGCAGTAGGTGAAGCAGTTGTAGTAGTTGTAGGAGTTGTAGCAGTTGTAGTAGTAGTTGTTGCTGTTGTAGCAGTAGCTATAGTAGTAGTCCTCGTCATCATCGTAGTTTTTGTTGTTGCTGTTGCTGTTGTTGTAGCAGTAGCAGAGCAGTAGTAGCAGTAGTAGTAGTAGTAGCAGTAGCAGTAGCAGTAGCAGTAGCAGTAGCAGTAGCAGCAGCAGCAGCAGCAGTAGTAGTAGTAGTAGTAATAGTAGTAGTAGTAGTAATAGTAGTAGTAGTGGTAGTAGTAGTAGTAGTAGCAGTAGGAGCAGTGGTAGCAGGAGTAGCAGGAGTAGTGGGAGTAGTAGCAGTAGTCGAAGTCGTCGTAGTCGTTGTAGTAGTAGTAGTAGTAGTAGTCGTAGTAGTAATAGTAGAAGAGAAAGAAATGGTAGCAGTAGCAGTAGCAGTGCTAGTAGAAGAAGTAGTAGTAGTAGCAGTAGTAGTAGTCGTCGTAGTAGTAGTGGTTTTTGTTATTGTCGCAGTACAAGTAGCATAAGTAGTGGCAGTAGTAGAAGTGGAAGTTGTGGTAGTTGTGGTAGTAGTAGCAGTAGCAGTAGCAGTAGCAGTAGCAGTAGCAGTAGTAGTAGTAGTAGTAGTAGTAGTAGTAGTAGGAGTACTAGCAGCAGTAGTAGCAGCAGTAGTAGTAGCAGGAGTAGTAGTAGCAGTAGTAGTAGTAGTAGTAGAAATTGTCATTGTTGTAGTACCAGCAGTTTTTGTAAGTGTAGTAGTTGTAGGAATTGTAGCAGTAGCAGTTGTAGTTGTTGTAGTAGTTGTAGTGATTGTAGCAATTGTAGTAGCAGTCTGGGTGTAGTTGCGCTAGTTGTAGTAGCAGTAGTAGTAGTAGTAGCAGTAGTAGTAGTAGCATTAGAAGTAGTAGTAGTAGTGGTGGTTGTGGCGGTGGTAGTAGTAGTAGTAGTAGTAGTAGAGGTGGTGGTAGTGGTGGTAGTAGTAGTAGTAGCAGTAGTAGTAGAAGTAGTAGTAGTAGTAGCAGCATTAGAAGTAGTAGTAGTAGTGGTGGTGGTGGTAGTAGTAGTAGTAGAGGTGGTGGTAGTGGTAGTAGTAGTAGTAGTAGTAGTAGCAGTAGTAGTAGAAGAAGTAGTAGTAGTAGTAATGGTGGTGGTGGTAGTAGTAGTAGTAGTAGCAGCAGCAGTAGTAGTAGTAGAGGTAGTGGTAGTAGTAGTGGTAGTTGTGGCAGTAGCACTAGTACGAGTAGGAGGAGTAGTAGTAATAGTAGTAGTTGTTGTTGTAGCAGTTGTAGGAGTTGTAGCAGTTGTAAGTAGTTGTTGTTGTGATTGTTGTGATTGTCGTTGTTGTTGTCGTCGTGGTTGTACGTAGTTTCTGATGCACAGAACTACCTAATGCACCAATTACTTCAGGTGTTGCCACGACAGCTCTATCTCAGGACATTTCGCTCTTCCAGAAGATTTTGGCTTCAATGAACCTTCTCTCGCCTGCAGATATGCTTCGCGAAGTTCAGGGCTTCGTCTCTTCCACTGAGGTCCCCCGGGAGAAGCTGAATTGCACTGAGTTTCTCAAAGCCTGGCCTGAGAGTGATGTCTTCTACAAGCAGCTGACTTTTCAGGGCAAGATGGCTGCAGCAAATGTGGTGAAGGATATCGCGGTGAACCTGGAGCTGGGTTACAAACAAACTGTTTCTGTTCCTGACACCCAAAGTTTTTGGAATTGCTTATTATAGTTTGACCAAAGTCAATGATATATATATATATATATATGTATATTTATTTATGGCCACTCTGTGAATTTTGTTGCACCCGTGCCTCCCAAGTTCATTACTGAAGGCTGTTTGTATAATAAAAAACATATATCACTTTCTATGATTGAGCCTCACAAACTGACACTCTATCCGACAAATGTTCTGACATTCTATCTGTCATAGTGTTTGACATTTTATCTGGCAATCATTTTGGCATGTTGTCTGGCATTGTGTCTGAAGTTTTACTTGCCATTCCTCCTGGCATTTGGAGCTGGTTCAAACTGACATAGAGTCTGACATTCCATCCGGCAGTCTGTCTGGCGTTGCATCTGGCAATTTACTTGACATTCTATCTGACAGAACTCCTGGCCTTCTATCTGGCATTCCAACAGACATATTATCTGACATGTATTCTGACATTCTACCTGACGAGTATTCTGACATTCTGTGTGACGCAGAGATATTTATACGTATTTATTCCGACCCATCTGGCATTTTGCCTGACATGCATTGTGAGATTCTGCCGGGAAATCGTTCTGGCAGTCTGTGGGACAGATGTTGTGACACTCTATCTGGATTTCTCGCTTACACTCTCTGACACATATTTTGACAATCTATGTGGCATTGATATTTGGACATTCTATCTGGGTTTGTTTCTGATATTCTAGATGACTATATGACATATTTTCTGACATTCTATCTGGCATTGTATCTGACATTCTATCTATCTATATAGATATATATATATAGATATATATTATTAATATATATATATATATTATAATATATATATATATATTATTATATATATATATATATTACTAATATATATATATATATTATTGATATAGATATATATATATATATTGACGAACTACCTGCAATTCCATCCGATATTCCAAGTGACATTCTATCCAATATTAGCTATTCTGACATTCTATCTGGCAATCCATTTGAAATTCTATGTGGCTCATATTCTGACATTCTGTCTGGATTTGATCTGGTATTATATCTAACATATATTCCGACATTCCTCTGGCATTCTACTGGCAGGTGGGCAATAAGTAACCCACTATACCTGAATATTCCTATCTGCAGGAGGACTACTTCGCAGTCATTGATGACTACATGCCTCCGGTTGAGAAGCCGGGCCCGACCGGTGTGAATCTTTTCCCTGCGGAAAAGCCGACAGCTGAAAAGCCGACTGGGGAAGCCAACCAGGCTCCTGCTGAGGAGGCAATGGATGGGGAAGCCAACCAGACTCCTGCTGAGGAGGCAAAGGATGGGGAAGCCAACCAGGCTCCTGCTGAGGAGGCAATGGATGGGGAAGTCCGCCGGGCTTCTGAAAGTTTCCATTTGGAGGTCAAGACTGGTGAGTCCTAGATTGACTAGCTGGTGGCAATTTAAAGCCTCTTTTTGCTCTGTAGCAATTTTGAAAAGGCGCGCTGGTGAAACACGACGGACGACGAAAGGCGACGAAGAGAAAAAACGAGCAAAAGGGTTTCAAGGGTTCCTCTACGGGACCTCCGGGGAAGAAATTCCAAGGGTTTCTCTCCGGGACCTCCGGGGAGCAAAAAAAAAAAATTAAGACGGGCACATACCATTGAGAAAAACACATAGCATGTTTTATGCGTATTTGCAATGTTCGGTGGCAAGTGTTCTTCCCCGGGGTATGGGTCTGTCTCCGGATTTTTTTTTTTTGCCGCCTTGAGCGCGAACCTTCACTTTGGGAAAACACTTGGCCCTGAGAAATCCCCCGAACATGGGAAAGTTTTCCAGGAATACGGTTGGGAAACCAGGACCTCGGATCAGGCCCAAAATCTGAAACACGACGCGCGACGGACAGAATCGTTCCGACTCAGGGTTCTGGCCCAGGAGTAGGAACCCACACGTGTCATCAGGAGTGTCATCAGGAAATCTTGCAAAAATAAACAACACATTTGGAGTCAAACATTCCAAACGGTCAAAGAAGCACAAGAAAGGTACAATTTCGAATTGCATGTGCTACACGGCTACACGTTTGAATCACAACCACATTCGTGTAGAGCATATTTGGGGAAATTGCTCTTTTTGGCCAACTTTAGCCACGATGGCCGTTGCCACTGGGGATTGTGCGAAACCGCTTGTTCCCTTTGTCGTGGGACCTGAGGATGAGGATATGGGCATTGGGAACGTTTCTGCATGTCGGAGGTTTTTGTGACATTCAATGTTTGGTTGCTATATGTTCGTTGGTTCAACATGGAAATCCAATTGTTCTGTTAAATCAACAAGAATGTGGTTAATCCCCTGAGGAAAAAAAAGGAGTTCGAGTGCAGTTGATGTCTCTACTTCGGAAGCATGCACAGGATGAAACCAAATTTGGGGATTACCTCAGGGCATTGGACTTTGCAGTTGAGAAACAAAGGCCCTTGCCAAGTTTGGAGAACAAGGTGCTTGATAGAACTATGTTGACCCAATGCTTGGCTGAGATTCGTCAACTTTGCAGCTTCCCAGTTCGCCCTGAGACAACCCCTCGCACTAGCAAGACCGTTTTTGAAGAGAAGCTGTCCAAGTGGGTGTCTTCCGAAGAACGGGAACCAACAGTTGTGGACTTTGAGTTGCTCTACATGCGTGGGCAGAATGGTGTGTTCACCGTTGCCAAGGCTGGGTTTGCCAACTAGCCAGGGATAGATAGACAATTAGATGGTGGATAGATGGATAGATGGAAAGATGGATAGATGGACAGATGGACAGATGGATAGATGGATACATGGATAGATGGATAGATGGATAGATTTCCTATGGATAGATAGATGGATAGATAGATAGATGGATAGATGGATAGATGGACAGATGGATAGATGGATAGATGGATAGGTGGCTAGATTTCCTATGGATAGATGGATAGATGGATAGATGGATAGACAGATAGATAGATAGATAGATAGATAGATAGATAGACAGATAGATAGATAGATAGAGAGAGAGCGATAGATAGATGAATAGGTAGATAGATAGATAGAGAGAGAGAGAGAGCGATAGATAGATAGATAGATAGATAGATAAACAGAGAGATAGAGATAGATACATAGATAGGTAGAGAGAGAGAGAGATAGATAGATGAATAGGTAGATAGGTAGATAGGTAGATAGATAGATAGAGAGATAGATAGATAGATAGATAGATAGAGATAGATAGATAGATAGACAGACAGACAGATAGATAGATAGATAGATAGATTAGGTAGATAGAAAGAAAGATTAGGTAGATAGATAGATAGATAAACAGATAGATCGATAGATAGAAAGATAGATAGTTGGTGATAGATAGATAGATAGATAGATATAGATAGATAGATAGATAGATAGACAGATAGATAGATAGATAGGCAGATAGAAAGATAGGTAGATAGATAGATAGATTAGGTAGATAGATAGAAAGATGAGATTAGATAGATAGGTAGATAGATAGATAGATACAGATAGAAAGATGGATGGATAGATAGATAGATAGAGATAGAAAGAGATATAGATAGATAGATGAATAGGTAGTTAGGTAGATAGATAGAAAGAAAGAAAGATAGATAGATAGACAGAAAGATAGATAGATAGATAGACAGATAGAAAGAGAGATAGATAGATAGATAGATAGATTCGGTAGATAGATAGAAAGATTAGAGATATAGATAGATAGAGAGATAGATTAGATAGATGGATGGATGGATGGATAGATAGATAGATAGATATATAACTTGACAGATAGATAGACAGATAAATAGATAGATGTAATGCGCATACTTCTATTTCCCTACGCATCCACACGCCTGCCTAACAGAACACACATTGTTCTATCTTTTATGGCCTTGACCATGCCTGTGGCATTGTACAAGGGCTCCACTTTACAGCTTTGGGCAGAGTTCATGTTTACAGGATGGTAACAATCCACCACAACAAGATCAAATTGTGGGTTTGGCGAAAAACACAGGGATGACCTTCAGATTCAGGTGCCACATGAAAAATCAGATATTGGTTTAACACATATCCGATATCCTTCAAGACCCACACAATCCTCATTCCTTTTTCCATGGGCCACTGGGACAGTTGAACTCCATTCTATGCTCTCTGGTCTCCAGTCCAAAGTCCCTGCAGATAACACCTTGCGGCCGCTTCCAACTGGATGGCTATGAGTTCTTGTGGATGGCCACGGATATTTGGCGTCAACTGGGCATGACCATTTCCTTTGCCAGATGGCATGGCAGGAACTTGGACATACTGCAAGAGCTGAGTGCCAAGTGGGAAGTTTCAGCAATGCACGTTGTGAGGAGCACCACCTACAAGGGCGAGAACGAGGTGTCAACCCTGGCAGGTTTTCGCTACGATGGCATGACCACACTTGGCTTGTGCCAGGTCATCGGAGCCCTTGCGCAAGTCCGAGGGCTGGCAGGAACTGTGCAGAGCAAGATGCTGAAGATTTTGCACGAAGCATTGCGCTTTAGCCTTTTTCCCCATGGTCTCAGCTTTCTTCCCGATATGATCTTCAAAGTCGAGAATGGCATGACTTCTATGAAGGACTGGCTGGTGCAAGTGCCTCGGAAAGAGAGAGCCTCTATCAAAACCAGGCGGGGCAAGACTGCATAATCTTTGTAGGGCAAATTCCTTTTTTAACCCCAAGGAAATTGGATTTCAAAGTATTTCATTATATTGTTTTCTCTATATATAAGAAATACCCCCGCACTAAACAGCAAACCCCCTTGGAAAGAACATATTTTCTTATTTACCATTTACGTGCCAGGTGGGAGAACACAGCATGTCTCGGCCCAGTTCGTATGAATGCCATGGGCACCTTTCATGTTGCTGACCTGCTCTTCTTTTGGCTTCGGCAGCCTTGGGACTCTTTGCAGTCTGTTGAGGTCTCGCGCATTCAGAAGCGTCTTGTTCACTTGTGTGCACAGGCAGCTGAGATGGCCTTCCATGCAAACAAGTTCCCTCTTTCAACTCAGCCGCCAGCCTTGCTCGCCAATGACACTGCTGTGGAACTTAGCAACTGGACAGGAGGCAAGACCAGATCTCAAGCGGCTGAGGAGTTGCGCTCTGAGCTCTTGCGTCGCTTCATCGCACGCAGCACTGGCTTTGTGGCTGGCATCAAGCACTCAGAGAACAAGGACCTCCAAGGCATCAATGATGGTGCTGGCACTTCTAACAATGCAGCAGCAGTGCAGGCAGCTGCACAGATGTGCACTGCCTACTTTCTGAAAGCTTCGGCAGCAGTGATGGACAAGATGTCCGTGCAGAAGTTCAAGCATTTGGCCTGCTACTATGACTCGGCAACTGTCTGCCATTTCAATGTCCAAGAGATTCACCTGAGTTGTGATGGTCTGGTGGTGTCCGCTCCCCTGGCTTTGATCCCCCAGCTGAAGCAACCCTTTGCAAAAACTTCGGCTGAGTGCTTGCAAGCCATCCAGGACATGGAGGTTGAAGCACCGCTTCACGAAATTTCCAAGAATGATGCCATGGCGAAGAAGAAAGATTTGTGCCCGAAGGAGAAGGCGGCTTCCAGGGTCAAGATCCTGGGCCTCAACCAGTCTTTGAATTACCTTCTGCACTTGCAGCTTTCCGACTTGGAACCAGCGATCAAGCTCCGACCTGCCAAAGACCAAGAAAAAAGGTGTTACTACACCGATGGCAATGGAATCTCCAGAGCTTACTTGTGGAACGAGATCACCAAGCAAACTGCATGGCAAAGTTCCCAAGGCATTGGGGACCACTTGGTGCGTTTGAGTTCCTTGACCGATGAAGGTGAATCTGCAGGCACTTTGTCGTTGATGGGCGCAGGCCTGGCCATTATGGCCCACCGTGACAGCCAGCACAAGTGGTACAATGAGCAGAAGTTGGCTGCAGCTGAAAACCCCAAGATCGATGAGGGAATCAAAAGTGTTTGCCTTGTTCTGAGATACGAGACGGCTCCCTGGCACAGTGGCATGTTTGGGAGGAAGTTGAAGGACCTCTACACCCACGTTGCTGAACTCACCCTGCCCAGTGTCTTGCTGGACATTTGCATGCCTGGCATCCTCGCAGACTTGCAGCTCCCTCCAGACACCACGCAGGAGACAGTGAGGTCCATTTTGGTGGAGTTTGCAGAATCAAATGGCCGTAGCCTCCATGCAGGTGTGCAAGGCGATCACAAACTTGGCAGGTGGGGAGATTTCGTCGACAGCTTCGCAAAGCTCAAGCGGCAGTGGCACATTCGTCTTTTCATGCTGTTGCTGGCATGCTCTCTGGAAGGCACCAACCCCTGGGCAGCCATTGCCGGAGCCTTCGAAGATGATTCTCAGTCCATCACTCCACGAGTCCTTCGTGTTTCTTGGCTAACCAAGGAAATTCTTTGTGGTTGTTGGCATTTTTCCCACCTGCAGGTAAGGGCCTCTAGATTTTAACGAAGGCGATCCTTGCTTCCCTCCTTGCTTCCTTCCTTCCTGGCCTTTTGCGCCTTTTGCGCTATCCTTGTCTTCTGCGAGCTTGTCGTCACTGTGGGCACGCTTGGGCCCGAAGACCAGCACATGGACCTGAGACCTATTGCAAGCTCGACGGCAGTCTGGGCACAGACGGACCGGAACACATGCCAGAAAGAATGTCAGAGAGAAGGCTAGATGGAATGTCAAGAAAAATACCAGAATATATGCTGGAGAAAATGTTGGAGAACATATTTAAGATTAGAAATTAGATCAGAAAGAGTGCCAACAAGGAACTCCGGATCAAAATCCAAACATTAGTTCGCACATTCTTTCAACAAATAGACTACCAGGATATATGTCAGGCAGCATGCCAGTTAAAAGCCTGTGCGTAAGTTGTATAAGTATATATGTCATGTAAAATGCCGACTGCCAAATACACATGTAAGATAGAACGCCAGATAGAATGTTAGATAGAATGTCAGTGAAACACTTCAGATAAATGTCAGAATACATGTCAAATATAATGCCAGAAAATATGTCAATACTGTCAAATAATATGTCAGTTGGAATGCAAGATAGATAGAGAAACTTGACAGAATGAATGCTATGATATAATGCAAGAAGATGCCAGAATATACGTCAGAGAGACTGCCAGGTATGAATCCAATATGTCGTATAATGTTGTCAAAGAAGAGGTCAGATACTATGTCAGAGAAAATCTCAGATAGATATGCTGTAAGAATATATGTCGGGAACTATGCCATGGGTGGAGATCACACGAAGTAAAATACTTTCTGGCAAGGTCCTCCAACATAAAAACCATAACAATGGAAGCTACTCACCGCGTCCTTATGTGATTTGGACCTCCAGAGGTGTTGGCGAATCCATGCTCTTTGGCGTGTGCAAAGTCGGCCTTCTATTGCTTGTCACCTTTCCGTGACTTCCAAGCTTTGGAGGCCATATAGCATGGAATTTATACGATTCTGCATGTCAGCGTATTATTTCAAGTATATAATAAATATGTGCGCACTGTGGCAATGGTGTTCCCCCGCTTTTCAAAATGTCAACGCTGTGGACATGAAGTGAATCATTCCATTTTCTTTTCCAGGCCAGAGATGACAAGCAGCCTGGTGGTTCGTATGCAGTCCTGCGTTTTGTCGCCTTGCACTGGAGAGACCTCATTCTCCGCAGCATGCAGAGCGCCTTGTCAGCTGAGCATCTCCAAGACATTTGCTACTTTGAATCTTCTGAGGATATCTTGACGGTCCACCTCAAGTTCCTTATCTCAGTGGTGAAGCAGTTTGATGAGTTTGCCCAAATCTTCAGACATTTTCCTTGGCGCTTCAGGCTCTTGACGGACGATGTCCCTTCAGTCGTTGAGGAAACAGTGAAGGAAATGGAGCTGGAGTGGCAATTCCTGCTGAAACTTGAAGAGAACACAAAGCTACATGGCAAGTACCCCGTGAACCAGATGCCTTTCCTGAGGTGGTTCATCTACCGCGAGTGCATGACCGTTGCTGAGGAAGAAGGCTGGGTTGTCACCAGCAAATTGGTGGAGTTGGCCAGAGCCTGGTTCGCAGACCCTTGCTCCACACTTGGCTGTGAGGATTGCTTTCGAAACTTGCGCCTGGCCGAGGCCAGGCACCAAACAAACAAGGAAACCAGCCCCGAGAAGATTCAAGCATGTGCTATCAAAGCTCTCAACGAGAGGTACTCCGAGTTCGAGCTTGCGGAGGTCAAGCCCTGCGATTACCACGGTATCCGCCCTGGCATGTTCATGAAAAGGAGCGTGTTTGATTGCAGCCGTGCCAGCGCCTGTGACACTGGCATCTCCAACTTCAACCAAATCATGAAAGTGACGACAGTGAGCCCACACCATTTGAGTCGCAAGAGCCTTACCATGTGGGAAGCCTACAAGGTGAACGATGGCAAAACGGAGCACTGGTGGACAGCGCAGCTTTTGCGATCTGGGCAGGCTGGATTTTCGTTTTACACGTCCACCAGGAATCCATTCAGATCTCCTTTTTTTTTTGCTCGCAAAGGCATACAAAGACAGTTCGTTTTCCTCTGCATGCCAAATGCTTTTTACAGATCATTGCCTTTCTGATGCATGTACTAGACTAGCAAGTAATCGGTAATATCCTGATCTTATTTGATAATTTTACTTCTTATACCTCAAAGCAGTCCAATGTACACTGGGACATGACTGTCGACGTTACTCCTCTAATATTCTTGCATTGTATCATAGCTGATTTATTTGACATTTTCTGACATTCTCTCTGATATTTTTCTGACGCCCCTTAAAAGGCGATCTGTCTGACACATTTTCCATCTGACATTGGATCTCACACTTTATCTGGCATTCTTTCTGGAGTTGGATCTGGCATTGTATCTGACATTGTCTCTGGTGTTCTAGTTGGTAATTCGGGTCAGATGCGGGGTGGATTTGTTTCCACAATCGACGTCGGCTTTGGTGAGAAATCAAAAAAAAACTCAAAACCCCGCCGTCTGCCGGCGAGCTTAAGGATTGTGTATCTTCGGGAGGTGCTTGTTATCAACTAGAGACCGTCAGATATCCTTGCACCAACTTTGTATTGCATCTTGGCTTGCTGAAGGGTGATAAGGTCCACCAGAACATCTATCATTTTAAATAAAATTATCTGTTCTTGGTCTATAGACATATCTGCAAGAAAACATAGAGGTGATCTCCTGGATGCTCTCGGGCTGTATACATCCATCTGAAAAGTTCATCACTGTGACATATACTTTGTCTGATCCATCAAAAACCTTTCCGCCTGCTGCAGGTCCTGCACATGCGGGATGCCTATTGGCTTGTGATCGATGCGCCCTACGTTCAGCTGAAGCTGTGGCCTTTGAACCTTGGAGAGGACAAGGAAGGCAAGACGACAGTTTCTCTCAGCGTGGATGCGTGGCGCCTGGAGGTGCCTCGCTACTGGTTTGTTTTCGGGAACAAAAAATCGTTGGTTCAACATAGATCCAAATCCCTCTCGAAATTCTCCACACTTTTTTCCCGCCTAGCCTTTCCATCTCGTTTTGGGCAGGCAGTGGTTTTGGAAGACCCACTGAGCGCTAGCATTGCCCCCTACCATGTTCAGATGAGCTCTTCGGCTGATGCGCACGCGGTGGAGCTGATTTTGAGCACCTTGCAGCCACTGGTCAATTTTGCACTTGAGAACTATGCCCATCGCGTCTTGGCATTTGCTCAATGTCCGAATTGAACTCTGAAGGTACCATTAGCCATATTCAAGTGTCTACGTGCACCCCCTCTACTGGGCACCTGCCTATGTTTTGTTGATTCAGCAATGTGAAGGGAGCAATGGGTATAAATTGGTTTAAATATTGGACATTTTGGATTCTAGGTAAGCTCATTGAGGGCTTCTGATAGGGGATGATTGGATGAGAGGATGGTTGGATGGCTGGATGTGTAGATGCTGCAAATGATGCTGATGATGATGATGATGATGATGATGGTGATGGCGATGGTGATGATAATGATGACGATGACAATGATGATGAGGATAATGATGATGATGGTGGTGATGATTATAATGACTATGATGGTGACTGTGATGATGATGATGATGATGATAATGATGATGACGGTGGTGATGATTATAATGACTTTGATGGTGGCTGTGATGATGGTGATGATAATTATAATGATGATGATGTTGTTCTTGATGATGGTGACAATGTAGAGACCGTAGGGGATGTAGATAAGGATGATGATGATTGTTGTTGGTGTGATAAAGAGGATGATGAGGAGGACGATGAGGATGCTGAAGTTGGTGGTGATGATGATAATGGTGATGAAGATTTTCATGATATGTGTAGAAGTGGTAGAAGATGTAGTGGATGCAAATAATGATGAGGAGCTTGTTGGTGTTTTTGCTGTTGATGATGATGATGGTGATGATGATGTCAATGATGATGAGGACTGTGAAAATGATGCTGTTGACGATGGTTATGATGACAATGATGATGCTGATGGTGCTGGGTGTGCTGGGTGTAGGTTTAGTAGCTGGTATGGCGGAGATAGCGCTGGTTGTTCTTCATTGCCAAGGCGTTGAGTTTGGGGACACCTTGGTACAATATTGTTTTCTGAAAATGCCCAATTCAATTGTCTCACGGGTAAATACAGCAAAACTTGAATCATTGATCGAAACATGTTGGATCTGTCCTATCTATCCCATGAAGATTTCCACAACGATGAAAACCCCAGAAAAGATTATGCCAATGGTAGTCCAGATTTGTGGTTTATATGCTATATTGGTTCGATCTGTTCGAAGGACACATCACCTTTGCAAAGGTTGTTGAATGCACAATATGGTCAAGGAACCACTTCTGATATTTCAAAATTGTAAATAAAAACACCACCAAATTTGGAGACACCTATGCTGGTACCACGGGTGAAGTTTATTCCTGGGTAGAAAGATTAGGCTCGGCCGTGTTTAACGTAAAATCCCATTGGTTGTTTCCTGAAATCACATATGCACATGGCTTTTCCACTATCAATATTGATTGGGAACTATTGGGTAAGCTCTAGGACCCCAATTCGGGTAATTATTCCCCATTGAGTCCTGTAAGTTGAATTAGAGGGCACAACTTGAGAATCTAGCTTGGGGTAGAGTAAATCATAAAGCATTTGAATTTAAAACATGACAAGCCGGCGGTCCTTAGTAACTCGTACCACAGGGTGTCGTTTATCCAGCAATGCCCCTAAAAATCTATTGGGAAATTTTTCGGTATATTCTGAATCTTTATTTTTATTTGTGTCAATGGGTGGTCCAACACAAACATGGGGATAAGTCTCAAGAAATTTTGGTGGTCAGTGTAGTAACACCATCTTTGTTTATCCACAGACTTTGCCTATCTAGCACAAGGCCACTTTTTGGCTGCATTTTCTGTAAGAAAAAATCATCAGACCCAACAGTGTGGGAAGTGAGAACATGTGTACCTCCTGTCAGACTTGCTGGCCCAAGAGTTTCATTAAGAAGTTTGATTTGAGGATGTCCCGTGAACGCAGTAGATCCCCAGTGCAGCCATCGCTTGGCTCTGGATCGTCTAATGACGATGAATACCAGATGAAGCGCCAGCTTTTGGTGCTCACTCTTATGACAGTAGTGAGGGCAGGGATTGAGGTTGTTGAGAAAACACTGGAGGCTCGAGGTCGCAGTGTCCAAAATTCACCCAATTGCTCCATCCCTACCCAGGCCTATGAAACCCAAGACTGTTTAAACAATGATGCATCATCAAGTGTCATCGATGCTGCAGAGAGCCCGGAGCGTGTGAAGGAGTGGCACAGTCCTGCATATGCAGACTCCCCCGTCAACAAGAATGATGGTTCCACGGACATTTCTCTTGTGCCCTTGGTCGAAGACGAAAAGGAGGCAGCGAAGCTAGCCTACTATGGGTATCATTTCCATGATGGTGATGATGCTGGTGCTTCGCCTACCTACCATAAAGAGAAGGACATGTGGGAACGCAAGTTCAAAGAACTTGGATTGTTTCAGGATGGCGCTCCCAGCCCACTGGACAAAAAAACAGTGGGATAGACAGCGCTGAAAGCAGTCCAACTCAAGTTTTTGGAGAACTAAATATCATTAGAACAACTCTTGCGAATCAAATTAAGTTGGCATATCGATGTGTCTCTTGACACACGTCTGAAGCATGCCGTGCCTGTGGAAAGAAAAATACGTTTGGGACACAGCTGTTGGCAAGATGGGTTGAGCTGAAGTGGAGTTTAACCAACATTTTATGACCTGTAACCTGTGTTGTTTCCGACTTGCTTTTAGAGCTTACCCCTACATATACCACCAAATAGGACCATGGTTTTTGGCATCCAACTTCAATCTAAGGACTGACCGCGGAGGCCTTGAAAGGCTTGATATCGCTGTGCAAGATTCAAGGTTGCTCAGGGAATTGCACCAACAAGTTGAGGGTTGAACGGTTGCTTCAGCATTTCCTCTACACGCCTGAGACCATTTCGCGGATCTTGGCCAAGTTCCCGAAAAAGGAGGAGGATTTGAATGAGGACAACCATGACCATGACATGGATGATTTTGATTCTCGCTGTGAAGCAGCTGAGCTTGCTCGGCTGCTTGACGCCATGGAGAAAAGGAATTGTTCGCCAGAGCCAGAGCCCCCAGCTAAAAAGCAGAAAAGGGAAGAGACGAAGGAAGACCATGGAGAGTTCACACAAGTAGATGTGAAACCAGACTTTTCGGGTGAAAAAGTTCCCCCGCGTTGCACCCTGAAGGTGCACCAGGGACATGGAAGTCCCTACGTACAGGGTGTCTTACCTGCTGGTTTCAAGTACAAAGGTTACAATTCGCACTCCCGCTCGTATGATCCCGATTTGGGTTCTGCTTGTGGCAGCAGCAGCAGCAGTGGCAGTAAGAGAGCCCTCTTGACCGAACAAGCGGCCAAGACCCAGGTTATGGCCTGGCTGTGGGGTTGGTGGAACCATGAGGGTTCCAAGGCAAGAAAGTGAGTGATACCCTGTGGAAGAGCAGCTAGAAACTGAATGATAATTACCTTCTTTGATTGATCCCAAACAACCGACAATGCATCTGACATTCTATCTGGCATTCTGTCTGACATATACCGTGATATTCTATCTGACATATTTTCTGACATTCTATCTGGCATTCTATCTGACATATAATTTGACATTCTATCTGGCATTCTATCTGAGACATAGATTCTGCCATTCTACTTGGTATCCTATCTGACATGCATTCTGACATGTTTTCTGGAATTCTACCTGACGTACATTCTGATTTTCTATCTGACAAAAAATTCTCACATTCTATCTGACATTCGTTCTGACATTCTATCTGGCATTTTGTCTGACATATATTGTGCCATTCTATCTGGCATTATACCTGACATGTATTATGACATTCAATGTGGCATTCTATCTGGCATATTTTCTGACAGCCTATCTGGCATTCTATCTGACATATTTTGTGTTCTAGCTGATTATATTAATTCAGTCATTCTGTCTGACATTTTTATTACCAGTCTTGAAGACACTTGAGCTGGCATTCAAACTATCTGTAATCCAGCATTCCATATCGCATTCTTTTTGTCATACCAACTAGCATTCTACCTGACATTCGATTTGGCATCCTGTCTGGCATTCTATTTGACATATGGTGTGCTTCAAACTTGCAGACCCAGGTGACCACATTTTACTTTATTGTGGGTATGATCCATCTAATTATTGGGGTACCCAATTGTGACCCATACCTACATGGCATTCTATCTGGCAAACTGTCTGGCAAATTGTCTGATATATTTCTCACATTCTATCTGGCATCCTATCTGACATATATTCTGAAATTCTACCTGATATATACTTTTGAAGATCTTTGAAGTTCAAACTGACATTCCAGCTGACAAATATACATGATGACTTTCTATATGGCATTCTTCTTGGCATTCTATCTGGCATTCTATCTGACATATATTTTGACATTTTATCTAGAATTCTTTTTGGCTGTCTACCTGACACATATTTTGACTTACAGTTTGGCATTTGATCTGACATATATATTCTGATATCGTATCTCTAATTCTTCTGACTTTCTATCTACTGTTCTCTGTGTCATTCTTTCTGGCACGTGTCGGGCCCAGACGAATCTGGAGCTCCGACATAAGGTTCGGCCCCTGCGTGCCTAGACTAAGTAGGAGCCCCCTGTGGGCTTTTGAGCGGAAGCTCGTGATAGGGTTCAGGTCCATGTGTTCCTAGACTGAACTGGAGCTCGCCATAAGATTCTGGAGCCAGCTTCCTTGACTTGGGCTGGCATTTGCTGTAAGATCCAGGAGTGGGAGGAAGAGGAGGAGGGAAGGAGAGGAAGAGGAGGACAAGGACGAGGATGAGTTGCACCTTTGTGAAAATCTAGAGAACATCACCTGCTTGGCAGGTGGGGAAGAACTTGCAAAAACCAGTTCATACGATGCTTTCACACAATGACGGTTTAAATATTGCTAATCTAAAGAAAACATTGGTCTCAACTTCAACTGCTTTTCCACTGGGCACTCCGCTAAGTGAACCTTCCATTGCAGATGGGGTCAGTGCGAGGAGGGGAAAAAGAAACCGCCTTTGAGACAGGGAGGCCTGATGCATTTCCTGGAGCCTACTCTGGGCTTTGTTTGGGGCGAGCCCATCAAGCCCATCAAGGTGAGACAACAGAAACCGGTGGAGGGTTGAGACAGGCACATGCCATTGAGAAGGTAGAAAACCCTTCATCCAGACTTCCGAAGCACAGGTTACAAACATTGATCTAAAATGCTCGTTTTTTACTGGGCTTCAAAAAGTAAAAGCAGGGTCCCAATTTTTTTCCAACTGTGCCTGGGGTTTCCATGAGGATGGATATTGAAATCAACCCTGGTAGCACCGGCATTGAAGGAAAACTTTTTTGAGAAAGTGGGACAACATACAACATCATATAACAAAATTCATTTCACCAAACACCATAGCCAAAACAAGCCAAAAAGTATGTAGGCCAGATTGTGTTGTATGATCAATGTTTTGTGGTTCACTTATTTTCGAATTGATGTGGGGCCAGAGGAAACCGTACAACGAATTCCTCACGCATGTTTGTACAGAATGCCAAAAACCAGAGATGAAAACCTGAGAGAAAAAAAACCTTTGGAGCTTGAGCATCTTGAGCCGATTGATGCCGATTGCAGTTTTGGATGTTTTGGAAGATTTTGAAAGCCGAGCATGTTGAACATGTTGATTTTAAAAGATTTGAGAGAGGAGGGGGGGGTTGAAGGATAGGAAAAAAATGTTTGAACATAATTCAACATATGTAGCCACTCTGGCAAAAGAATCATATATGTTCAAACCTTAGGGGACAGCAAAAAAATGTTGAGCTTGTTGGACCCTGGTTGAAGTTACGTTACCAAAAGATTTTCCAACAGTGGACCTTGGAGACTTTGGAGAATATTTTCCAAAATGAGGGTTTCAGAAATTATTTCCTAAGTACAAACCTTTCTGGGTGGTACAAACGAGGATGCTAAAGGTACATGAGAAGAACATCCAGAAGAGACGCCGGCAGGCCGGCGGATATAAATCATAGATGTGCATTGAGATCTTCACATTCTTCATACTCAGGTCCTGTCCAAGGTCGTCTGGCAGGTCGAGCCATTGCAGCCATTGACAAAGTAGCAATCGTAGTAGGTTGACGGTGGGAAAAAGAGACTCAAGCAACAAAGCTTCCTGAATTCAAAAAAAGATGGGTTTCCGAATCATACCCCGAATCATGCCCGAATCATACCCGAATCATACCTCAAACTTCCCAATTCTGAACCTTGGTACATTTGCAAGATCAGAACTTGTGTTTTGTGAGCTCTTTTCTTTGCAACCATTCGCCACGGGTCCTGCTGCTTCTGAGAAAAATCCGACAACAGCACCCTGCAGCGCGCAGCAGCACCCTTCACTAGCACCCTTGCAGCACGAGTTGGGTACAGTACGTACCCTCCTTGCAGCACCCTGAAGCATCACCCCTTGCAGCAGCACAATGGGACCCATATACTCCATGTATGATATAAATGGCATTAATTAGCAACATTCGGACGATTTTGGGAGTAAGTATAGGTACATAAAGGGCCGCGAATCATACCCACGAATCATACCCCGAATCATACCCGCGAATCATACCCCCTAGTCAAACTTCCCGGGTTGGACACGGTATTTTGAGACGTCCCCATATATATATATATATATAGAGACCATTAATTATTAGTTATACCAGTTTTATATCCGATGAAAATCCATATTTCTTTGTAGTATATCCCAGCACCTCCCCATGGCTATTGGCCTGAGGTGAAAGCTGCCTCATCCGCCGGTGCGGCAGCGGCCGCGGCGGCCAGGGGGCACGGCCCAGACACTCGCTGGCAACGGGGAAACATGGAAAAACGATTGTCTCAGAAGGAAATGGTCTATCTTTTTGGGGGTAGGTAGATAGAGATATAGACATAGAAACAGATATTCAGATACTGGTTGGTGGTTTGGAACTATGGAATTTTATTTTTTCCATTCAGTTGGGAATGTCATCATCCCAACTGACGAAGTCCATCATTTTTCAGAGGGGTAGGCCCTGGTAGGCTCAACCAACCAGGATAGATGCTTGGACATGACCAGGGGGGTTCCATAAATGGGGGATCCCCAAAATGGATGGTTCAAAAACGGAAGATCCTATTAAAATACATGATTTAGGGGGACCCCAATTTTAGGGAAACCTCCATATATATATATATATATATGTGTGTGTTTTTACGGTTTTCTTGTATTTTTATATATTCATGTTCATGTGTGTATTTATAGTCATATTGCTGCGTAAACCTTTCTTTTTCGTTTTCTGAATTCATTTGGTTTATTATATGTTGCTTTTGTATATTTGCTCATTTGTGTAATTGTTTTGCGCAGATAAAATTGGACTCGCATGTGTTTTAAAGTCCTTGACAGGCGATGAAAATTTGGTAAATCTGACCAGACATCCATCTCATCCACTGCCTTCTTGCCAGCAAACACTATGCCCCATATGATTTCACATCTTAACTGGGCAAAAGTTCTATCATTTCAAATCCCGGAGTTTCAACACCTTTGATTTCTTGTATTTTTTTTGCAAGCGATCCAACCCAACCTTTTTGTATCACATCTGCAACATCATCACCAGCGCCCGAGGAAAAATCTGCCGAGGACGCAGGCCGCGCGGCCTACAGCACTGCCATGGCCGTGGCTTGGCTTAAAGCATTTTGGGGGATCCTTCCCCTTACCCTCTGGTTATGTCAAAATAGCTATTGAAAATTGCCATTTATAGTGAGTTTTCCCATTAAAAATGGTGATTTTCCATAGCTATGTTAGTTTACCAGAGGGTAAAATTATGGTTAATGGTATATAACTATAGTTAATGGGGTTTATAAACCAACTTATAATTGAGGGGCACCATCCTGTAGGTACTCGGCAAAGTATGGTTGGAAACCCCATTTTGAGATGGGTTTTCTTGGGAAAAGATCAAGTTTAATGAATCCATGGGTGAATAGAATGGACAGTGGACAACGATTTCTATGGCGGACTCGGGAAAGTCCGAGAGCGGTGGGAGTCCAAAGCCGTTGAGATCTGAACATCACCCTGACGGCCTCCGGTCCCTGTCACAAACGCCACCAGAGTCAAGCTGGCCAACATCGTTTGCAACTTCACTGGTGCGGCAAAAACGGTATGCGATGTCCATGGGTCATCTCGGAATAAGTGTACCCGGGTCATGTCACCCATGCTTTCTGGCCCTTGCCATCCTATGCCATGCACAACACGTGTTCGAATAATCATGTCATATCTTGGAATGTGGTTGCATTTATCATGGTCGATATCCCAAGAAAGTATAACCTATTTGACCTGTGGATGATTTGATCATAAACAGTTGATCAACTACGGGGCTTACCCTGAAGAAATGACAAGGCTACTCAATTGCTATCCCTACAATAAATCGACGGGTCCAGGCCCCCAGTCCGGGATGGATAGGGAGCTTTGCCGATACTGCGAAGCTATGAAATCAGCAGATGAACATGTTTTACTGGGATGTACAGGCTAGATATTTTACAACGCAAAGGAAACATGAATAAACATGAGATATGAAACATTATGAAACTGTGAAATTTTTGGTACTTTGCCGACCATTGGGATTGAACTATGACTTATATTTGAAGAAAAACTCATTGGTTTGACCCAGCACGGCAGAGGATAGATGGATGTTTCCTCCATGACTGGAGCCGCGATATGATCAAGAAACATGGGGCGAATTGGACGCCGCAAAATAGCCATGGGTGTTGGTTGAATCATTTTAATTCAGATGACTGTTACCTAAACCATCATCGTTTAGTTGGCAGAATTGAATGAAACCATTGATATGTTGGTGTTTCCTGAATGAACTGTTGGAACCTGCAAAAAAGTCAACTTATTTTTCAGGTTTCATGGTGAAACCAATGATTGGGGTACCCCCATGTTGGGAACCGTCCAGGTTGGCATGGTTTCACACAAGGCCGCTTGGCAGGCCGCCGAGGCAGACGCTGAACGGAGAATTGAATGTTTTGGTGGGAAATGTGTGTTGCCTGTTGCAGAGAAAGTTGCAGTTTCGTTTGGTTTGAAGAAATCCCTGTCAGACTCGGATCTTGTTTGGTGATGTAAGATATGTAAGAAAACCAAGCGTGAATGGGTGATGATTTTGACCCAATCAGCCAAGATTGATTGACAAATTTGGGCATGGTCCTTCTCCCAAATGTTGCCACATCCAGGTTGTAATTAGGTCATGGCCTTGGCCAGATCATGACCCAGTTTGATATGTACGCATATAATAATAGTAGTAATGATAATATGATCAGATTAATAATGGCAATGACAATGGTGATTATATTATATATATTGTATGTTGATTAATTATATTGTATATAATATGGGTTATGTACTGCTTATGACCAATTTACTAATTGGGATGCACCCCCAAATAGAAATTGGCTGATCCCACTAGGCGGCAGCCTTCGCTGCCTTTGAAGCCGCTGGGAGCGACAATGAAGCTGCCGCATTCAAGGGAGTTGCTCAGTTGCATGAAGGGTCGGGATTAAGCCAGAAATGATGGCCAGAGTCACCAAAGCTGTGGCTTGAGCATCCGAAATATGGGAAACCAACTGGTGAAGGGGAATGTAAGGTTTCAATCTTTTGCTAGTGGAGATGTATTAATCGTTGTTGAGGGGTATCTGAGAGCAGGGTTGAAACAGCCCCGCGTACAGGCTGAGATTTCGATGATATTTATTGATGTTTTCTCATATTTTGAACAAACCAACCCCTACAGTGAAGAAACACCAAGAGTTTTCAAGACACCCAGAGCTTCGAAGCCGTTCAAAAGCTGGGAAGTCGACGTGCGGAGGAAATATCTCCCCACTGGGATCCTGATAGTGAACCCATCAAGTTTCTGTCACCTGCGTAAGTCGACATGTTTTTGACGGTTGTAAGGCCTTTTTAACGGAACTCCGTTTTGGTTCTTCGAATCCGGAAAAATATGTTGTTAAATTACGGTGTTTTTAATCATGTCTGTTGCTGCAATCACCCATATGTAACGATCGATTGCATCCTATTGTTGAGGTTATATCATGGTGACTCTTCCCACGTGTTCTAGTTGAGTCAGGCCTGCAAAGCTGCGGAGCTGGCGGGTTTGCAAGTGCGCGAGGCTCAGGAGGCGAAACGGCTTCACCCCAGGTATTTCAATGGGAGTAGGGTGAATCCACTCAAAAAACTGGGGTTATAACAGTTATAACTCACTGGGATGACCAACAATCAATGAGATTTCATGGGATGTATGGCTGATTGCTAAGGTTTGGTTTATAACTCGCTGAATGTTATGATTTCTGGTAGGTATATATGATATAACTATAGATAGATGGGTGTAAAAGGTGACTTATAACTGGCCGCTCTACCTTGTGGGATGGGATGCCCATTATAATTATTGGTTTGTCATGGCAACAATGTCCTATTATATCCCATGGGACATAGGGTTTTAATCATCAAAATATTATGTATTGCTATGGAAAAAATCACTGTTAGTAGGTTTATCAACTAGCATTGAGGATACCAACTATGATGCGATAAAAGTATAATTGATTGTATTCAATCTGGGATATTTAATGGGATACATTTATGAATGTATATACATACATACATACATACCATACCATACCATACCATACCATACCAGTACAGTACACTACAGTACACTACAGTATATTACATTACATTACATTGCATTACATTACATTACATTGCATGACATTGCATGACATTGCATGACATGACATTACATTACATAAATACACCCAAACTCAATGACAATGATATATATATGATTGATGGGATACCCCAATACTTGACAGTTTCAATAAGAGAAATGATGATTAACCATCAGGGTGTGGGCCATATGAAGGGTCGCAAAAGTGTGAAACTGAATAATTCTGGAGTGCGGGTGGTTTTAGAAGAAAATGTGGTGAGGTTTAGGTTTTCTTCCTGGTGAAATTGCTGGTGTTGCCCATGGAAATTCGGTTAAATTGCGAAATGAAGATGGGAAGATATGCGATGATTACTTTTATGAAGGTTTAACTGGCACGGCTTTTACCACTAGAAACCCTTGGAGATTGGAGAATCAAGGGGGGCGAATATGGGTGTTTAACGGATGTGTTCCGCTTGACAAAAATGTATAGGAATAAGATAAGCTTAGAGTTTGGGGCTGTGCCATCAAAAATGGTGGATTTGTGCATAAATGTGTTGTGATTTTACCAACATATCCACAAAAACAGACAAATTGTGCGAATATAATGGCGGGTTGAACTTGGAAGTTTGGACCCAGTAGTAAAGCAGCAAAGTTCGAATAACAATGATCTTGGGGGAAGCATCGAAAATGTGGTATGAGCCGCTGAAATTTGGAAAAAACGTTTTTTTTTCTGGTTGATCTTTAGTTGGTGACACATCACATCCATCAAATCATCCGTTGAATCATCCATTTGACTCCTTTGAATCCATTGAGAATAAACCATCCACTGATTCACCACTGCTTAATAATCAACGGTTCAGACTATTACCCTCTCTTCCTCTAACACTGAAAATTTACCCACTTGTAGATGATTCCTCCACAAACCCCAAAGCAAACCCTTCTTGGAGCCCCAAAATCACAGGTTGGGGCCGTACGGCCTGGGCCACGGGGTAAGTTGGCTCATCCATTGATTAACTATTAAGAACAAACGATTAGCCAACCTCTGATCATCCATTGACAATTGATCAACAATCGATTAACAAGTGTTTAAGCATGGATTAAACATGCATTAAACGTTGAACATTGAGATTATCCATGAAGTTGATTGGGTCACATTTTGGCCGCAGGCAGCTCAGTCAAGCGCCCGCTTGGCTGCACGCAAAGCGGAGCAGCGGCAGAGGGCGCAGGTAGCACAAGCAGCGCAAGCGGACGCTGGGCTGCGGGGCGATGTTTGGGGGTGATGGCCCAGCATGATCTTAGGCATATGGTTGTAGAAAACATAGATTAATGATTATGGATCAGGATATGATGAATAATCATTAATTATCATAAGTTTTTTGGGGAAATTAACCCAGCATACAACCCCCAGCTATCGCTATTGGGGAATAATTTATGATTATAATACCCCGGTAAATGAACAGTTCGACCCTGCCAGGGTTTGGAAGATGAGTGAAACCACTCAGAATTGGTGATGTTCAATCCGGGGTGGGCCCGATCAGCATGGGGAATCCTGTTCTCAACCGGCTACCATAATTTGGTGATAGAAATGGTACACCGTATTATATGGTAAATCAGGGATGAGAATCATAGGGATATGGTTTTTTTCCGCAAAAACATGATATCATGAATCATGATAGTTTTATTTGTTTGTCCGAGAATAGGGTATGAAATTTGATGGTAAATAATGTTTGGTTCGCTATGAATTGGGAACCATGTCAACCATGTTTGGGTACCATCCATTTTCAGACACACCTGTATGGCTACAGTACTTGTCAGCATGGTGCCCTTCTCATGTTCACACCACAATGGCTGGCTTTGACCCAGAAAATCTTAGGATCTTGAGCTGAAAGTTGCCCAGGGGATATGGGATTAAACCAACAAAAATTGGGATCAGGATTGGTGGCTAAAGAAACCAGTTTAATATGTATGAATTGGTATTTATAGCCAAAAATTCAAGTCTTGAGTTGCTTGGAGGATGCTGAACACCGGGATATTGCTGCAGGGTATAACCCTTCGCTTGAATTGATGGGTAAAACCAACCAAAATTGAGGTTTAAGCAAGAGAAATAGGTGATTGAGCAACAGAATTGGAGTTGGATTGGCCCATAGATGTCCTCTTTCCATTGGTTAGTTAATAGAGGTTAATCCCCTTCACAACCAATAGGTAAATGACAATGTCCAGCCTGTTCCCACAGATATGGTTGTTGATCTTAGGCGGCAGAAGCTGTTCCGGCAGGCATGGTAAAGCAGTCCTGGTCAGGGTGGGGGAAGATTTGATGAGATCCTTTGGGTTTGTTTCGAGACATGGATGGATTCGTGTGACTAAACCCCATTAGAGCTTGTGTTTTAATCCAATACCTAAGGTTAGCGATGACATCAAAACATATCATCCACCTGTTCAATCGGGGTTTATCCAAATTCATGGCTCAATTATACTTACAAACTGTCATGGTTCAGATCAACTGGTGTATATACAAACAAGTATATACATACAACATGTACAGTTGCATTCACGTTTACGTATACATATGCATCTACACATACATATACATCTACATATATAGTTACATATACATGCACATCTTATATATAAATATAATATAATAGATATAATAATATATATATATATATATTTATATATATATATACAAAATTACATAACTAGATAATATATATATATATATACTTACAATAATGTATGTATATATATACTATATAATATATCCCTTTTGTATCGTGCATCACTTGCCAGGCGCTGACAGGGCGGAGGCTGCCGCCAAGGCCGCGGCGGGCGAAGCGGCCAAGCTGGGCTTGACGGCAGAGACCTGGCGCAACGGTGGATCCGTGGGAAAAACCCTGGAAAATGCGGCTGAAAACTATGGAAAATAGTGGAAAAACCATGGAAAATGCTGGGGAAAATGGTGAAAAATGGATCTTAAGTCTCAGAAATATGATTTTTTGGCTATGAATAATTGATATGTGGCACATCTGGGAAATATGTGGATATCACCAACAAGACACCCTCAAAATGTGTTCACCAACACAGAAAGATCAGCTTTTTTTTGCAAATGATGGTCGGCCGCTCTGCCGGTGCTGACGTCCTTCGGCCTCCTGAAGTCAGGAAATGCTGAGGTCGACGTGAAAAACTGCACCCCGACCATCTCCAGTGCGCATGAAGTGCAATGCATCCCTGCAATGGCTCCCCCAATGATATCACTGGTGCAGTCACAGGGAGCAGATCTGCCGAGGAGCTATCCAATTTCTGACGAATCACACCGACATGGCTGCTGCATGGTGTGCTTTGGATGCGCCTTTTTGATCACTGTTAGTTGTAATATATGTGATATATATATATATATATAATTGATATGTATATATAATATAAGATAATATAATACAATGTAAGATAAGATAACAAGATTCAATCGGGCTGATGGCTGATCGACACCCCCCTTCAGATCCTCAGCCGATCGAAAGCTGGTCAGTTGGGTCGGGATTCGAAATAGATCATGTCCACCACCCAAAATGCTTACACGACATCAATTGATGACATTTCCTCTGGTAAACTAGCTTTTCTATGGAAAATCACCATTTTTAATGGGTGAATCAACTATTTCGACCAAGTTCAAGTTCCCAAAGTGTAAACGTTTACCAGAGGGTAGACTCCAAGCCATACATCATCTGGTTTTATCACCGGTACCGAGGAAGCGCAAGGCGAGGTGGCCATGAAAGCCGCTGTGGAGATCACGTGGAAGGACGGCCTCGGTGCCAAAAAATCACTGGAGGAAGCGGCCAAGGAGGCAGCTGTTTGGGGCGTGGTTTTGTTGGGGCTGAAAGGGGGCTGGTAGATCTGGGCAAAGTCATCGATTTTCAGATTTTCGATGTCAAGACAGATTAAGACATACCGAAACATTCAGAGTTGTGTTCTCCCGCACGCTGCAGGCAGGGGCAGCTGCTGCCAGAGTTGCAGGCGAAAGGAAAGAGAGAGCAGCGGCCACTGGGCCGCCAATGGGATGTGTTCAGTCTGGATGTTGCCGATGCGAAATCCATCGGGATGTGTTCTGGAATTTTTGAGGGACCCATGAGGCCTTCCGCGAATACTCTGGTCGATGTTTGCAGATCTCTGCAAGGCCTTGGTCGCCTTGCTCTGAATCATTTTGGGACGCTTCTGGGTTGTTGTTCCTACCAAAACCCAGAGGTTCGCACCAGATCACCCCAATCTTGGAAGCTTCAACGACCCATTTCCAAAATTTCCATCCAGTCAGCCCTGGATTCATAAACCCCATCAGTTCTTGGTGGTTTTGGGTCATTTCATTCATTTGGGGGCTGCTAAGACGTGAATAATTTGACACTCGGAATCGAATGCTGCTCTTCTGGAAGATCATTTGGTTTTTGGTTTGATTTGCGATCTATCCCCAGGTGTGATTGATGAAATCAAACAATTTCGCAACCAATTTATTCGCCCATAAATTGATTTGGAGTATTTATTTATCAGCCATATCGACAATGAGTTTCGCGAATGGGTAATCAGGAATGTATGATGATGATGAACTAATCATTCTTAGCTTTTTACTCACCATAAACATCATGAATTAATGATTAGGTTCATAATTCATTGATTAACCAGATGAACTAATGATTGTGAATTACTAATTAATTACCCTCTGGTAATTCTGAACATAGCTATTGAAAATTGCCATTTATAGTTGATTTACCCAGCTATAAAATGATGATTTTCCATAGTTACGTTAGTTTACCAGAGAGTAATCACATTAAATCCCATTGTAATCCCATAAAATCTTATAAAATCCCATAAAATCCCATTAAGTAATTCATCAACCACAGGTCTGTTCAGTGACCTCAGGAAGTGGCTGCTGCCGCCTGTGGTGAGGCTGCGGAAAGCGCCCCGCGGTGGATAGTTTATTTTCTGGCTGGTGGTTTGGAACTGTTTTTTTCCATTGTGAATGGAAAATCATCCCAACTGACGATTCGTCATATTTTTCAGAGGGGTAGGTTGAAACCACCAACCAGTTTTCTTATGTTTATGTTGGGATCATCAGGATTAACCGTTGGATATAGGGCTACACTATTTTCACAAAAGCCATACGTGTTTTGAAAATGACCATCGGATTTAACTAAGCCAAAGATTTTTTCACGAACCATGGGTGGAATATGTGTTGCTGTTTGATTTTTGTGCACTTCGATTGCAGACGTCCGGAGGGGATGGAAGGTGGGCCACGCCACAGCTCCACAAGCTTGGTATGTTCATTGAACCATACATTTTGGTTGGAAATGTGCGGTTAAATCCTACTTTTGTGCTGGCAAAACCATATTGAATCCACCATTTGGAGAAGCTACTGGGAATAGTTCTGTTAAGGTTCTTGCTAGCTACCCTCTGGTAAACATGGCTGGGAAATGCGCCAAAACCCACGTTTTGAGTACTGGAGGGTAACACAAAATTACCCCATTCTCCCAAGAATTGGTTGTATGTGCGTTGATCCCAATTATCATCATTATCCCATATGACTCATATTATCATTACTATTGTTTTTATTATCATTATTATTATCATTACTATCATTATTATCATGTTATCATCATTATCCCATTATCATTATCTTATATGATCGTTATTGCCCGCACTTTTGCCCTTTGCCCAATAGAGCATTGTTATTGATTTTTAGATAATTATCATTTATCATCATTATCCCATATGATACTAATCGTTAGTTATACCATATGATCATTATAATTATCCCATATTATCATTATCATTATCCCATATTATCATTATCATTATCCTATTGCTCATTTCTTCCCACTTTTACCCCACCAAAAAAAATGCCAATTGACATTGCCTCCACCCAGGAAAGTTCCGCCAATGTTGTGGCAGTCGCCACTGCTGCAGCTAGTGGTGCAGGGGCCAGCAAGGACGAAGATGTTTTGACCAACAAAAATGGTGGGAGAATGGTGGTACAATGGAATATTCCCATTAAAACCATCAAACCCATGGCACTTAAATTCCGATTAAACAATAAAATCCTATGAAATTTCAACTGTGGGTAAAACAACGTCATAAACCACCCATGACTGGGAATGGTAACCATGCCACCTATTTATGGTGAAATTGGGGATGGTTTATGATGTTTTACCCACATTAATGGTGGTACAGTACAATTGGGGAATCATCTGCGATTGTGCCGGAGTTGATGGATTTTGAATAAAACAAAGGTTGGGGAAACCAACCATGATCTGTGGAGAGAAGCATGAAATCTTTGAGAAATGAACCTATAGTAGCTATAGATACCCACTAAGGATGTTGTTGGTCGGACAAATGTGGATTTCTGATAGGACAATTTCAGAATGGCCCTGATTGCAATTCTGATGGAAAAATCCAGGCAGTTTAGATTCACCATGATTGCTGTTGGATATTTACCATCTGGTAAACTATTATAACATATTATAACTATGGAGAATCACCATTTTAAATGATAAATCAACTATTTCTATGGCCATTTTCCATAGCTATGGCTTGACATAACCAGAGGGTAACTATCGTGAACCTGAGCAAAAATCATGGCTTTGATCATGCTGCAGGAGAGGGCCGAAGCCCTGGGCGTGGCCGCGGGAAAACATCTGCAGGCTCCGTGGCTGAAGATCGGTGGTGAAAATGGCGGTTTCCAGCTGGGAAAATCCATGTGTCAAGGAGAAAACCTGAAAAAATGGTCTATCATTTATAATAAGTTTGGTGAAACGTTGAATCTTGGAGAGAATTACAGGAAATTCAAATGGAATTCACATGATTTAAGCAGAAAAAATGAGAGAAGACTGGGGATTTTACCGTCAAAAATGGAGGTTGATACAGGTTTCTTGATTAACGATGGGAATGAAACTCAAAATTGAATCGGACACTGATCAAGCGTCAAGAATGAGAATTTCATGACCAAACCTGTGGGATCAAAAGTTGTAGGGCCTGGGCGAGATGTTTGCTGGATTTCTTATTGGGTTTGGGGTTCGATTCCAGGATTTTTAATGCTGGGCATTGCCAGAAATTCATAAACCACAGAACCATCCTCATGGTATTAATCCCCAAATAGTGCCAGGGTTTTCAATATTGTGTATTCTGAGTAGCTATAAGGATGAAGATGAAAAGCTTACTGAAAATTGGTATTTCATGATGGTCAAGCAATGTCAAGCATCATATCTTCCAATGAATTTGCCATTTTTATGGGTACATCATTTTGGACATACCCAGATCATATTGCTGGTTGCATGTCATTTTATATTCCAATATGGTCCTTTATTTTCGTTGATGTTTAACCTCCGTGTTTGTTGATTAGACATCATCGTTTGTCCGTTTGTCGGCAAACCCTCTAGTGTCTAGTTTTTTCAGTTTTCCTAAACCCACATCTTGATAAATAGATCCACATGGTTAGTTTTGCAAGCCCACATCTATTTATTAGTTTTGCTAAACCCACAGGTTAGGATCCCGATAAAATCTTCCCATGTACATTCAAACCCACATCCCATCGAGACGCCAAAAATCGCATTTGATGATTCACCTGTGAAGAATCCGTGAGTGGTCATCTACCCCAAAGGTCTAGCTGATTGTAGCAAGCCCAAAAAAAGTCAAATCGTCCTGAAATAGTGATAAATATCATACAAATGGATAGATAAATCACCATTCTATCTTTTTGGTGTTTATCCATGTTTTCTTCGTTATATAATCATCCTATACTTGATGGTGGTTACTATTCCATCCTATACCCATGTTGCGTTATTCACCTGATGGATGGCCTTCGCTAGGAGCGGCTGCAGCACCGCGCACAGCTCGCAGCACGTGACGCTGCCGAGAAAGCAGCCAAGGCAGGTGGCACGACTCTCCCCACGGGATTTGCAACCTCCACAAGTTGAGAGATAACACGATATAACCCTCTGGTTATTTAACATAGCCATGGAAAATCACAATTTTTAATAGGTAAACCCAGGTAAACCATCTATAAATGGGCCATTTTCCATGGCTATGTTAAATAACCAGATGGTAACCCTAATGATAGCCATACAATGCCAGCCTTTTTGCGGGTTAGAATATCCGGGGTAAAGCTATTCAATTGAATCCTCAGATCCCCCTGATATGCCTAGATCCCCTATCAAATGGCTGGTCCTGAGATCCCTGACCCCATTGAATAGTGAGATATAGCTTTAAGACTAGGGCTTAAACTACGCAACATGAAGGTTTTAAGCACCAAAATTGGGATGAACCTGATATTGACACCAGAAAAATGCAATCTTTTCGGTCTTGAATTTCCGCACATTGGTTTACCAAGAAGTGACTTTGAAACTGCAAAAGCGAATTGAGGGTTCCCATGAACATCCCATTAAATCTCCAGTTTTCATGCAAAAAAAAATGCTGGCTCCACCAGTGGATGATGGTTTTCTCACAGTTCAAGTTGGGCAACTTGGGATAATTTCATTTAAAAAAACATGAAATTGGGGTATCTATGGGTTATATCCCCGTGATATTCCCATGAATATCCCTTGAAATCCGCATTTTGAATGGTGAAATCGCCATGAAGCACTTGTTTGATTGCTTCACACCCCAATGTCTTGTGCTTTTGCCACACGGTTTTGTTCAATACATACCATACATTACACTTTGATTGGTTCCACTTTGCTTTTGAGTGTTTTAAAGCCATTCTGATTCTTAAGTTTGCTGCTAAAGTCCCTGACGGCCTCTATGGCCAGTTGCTTCAAATCCCAATTTTGGTGACGTTTTGTGGTAAATCTCCAGCGTCTTTGCTCGTGCCCGGACAGGCCATTAGTTGATGTTGGTTGATGTTGGTTGCATCCTAAGTTATTGGTGACCACAGGCAGCCATTGATGACGGAAAGCCACAGGAAGCTTCACAGTCGGCCACTTGGCAATCCGAGATATCCGCATGGTCGGTCAAACCCGGGGGGGGGTGCAGTTGGCGTTCTTAGTGGCTACAACCATGGGACTCTTAAGAAGCTGGGATATCACATGGGTATAGGTTTACCAAACACATGTAAATAATGGGAGAGTGAGTTTATCCATTATTCTGTTTCCCATGCTTTTCCCAGTTTGTTCCCATTATATTCCCAGAGGATTGATTGGCTCAGAACTGCACCTCATCCATGCTAAGGCTGCACAGGCCGCTCAGGAAGCTGCAAAAGCCGCAGGCGTTGACAAGGAGAAGGCGACAGCTTCAGCTAGTCCCTGGATGGATTGAGAAGATCTTAATGCGAAGACAATTGTTTACAAAGTTGGGCACCCTAGATAGCTAAGTCAGTTTATAACTCCAATAACTATGGTTTATAGTACTTATAACTTATAGCTATACTTACTCTTGTTCATAAACCGACTTATAACTGGGGGGCCCACATTGTACTGTTTGTGAATATATCCCAGCGTTTGTGAATAGATCCCATTAAGGGAAAATCATAACATGAAAACCATGCTTTTCCCCATGAAATATTGGGGTCCTGCAAAATTTCCGACCAATCCAATGACTTGACACCAACAAAAATGAGGCGGAAAGAATCGGATTTGTAACTGTGTTATAGTTCACTTGCAATAATTGGGTTTGGCCAGAAGAATAGATTTAAGAACTACAACTTGGGAAAACCAAAATATAGAATCTAAGTGATTTCAGCTGCACCGGGAAACCCCCTCAAAACCACCCAAGAAAATGTAGTTTACGCAGCCAACAACAGTAGGGATGTTGAGTGACATTAACGATGAAAACGAGGATTTTACCGTAGTTTAGATTGAAGCACCAAAACTTGGGAAGAGACACGTGGGAAGGCAGGAAATCCTCGAAGCTTGCACTCTTTTATAGCTTGCTGGGTGGAAATGACCATTTTGCAGAGCTGAAATCGCTATCTCCTCCAGAACAACCGCTTCAGACGTAGGTCGTTGGGCAGATTAAACCTGTGACATTCAACGCGAAAAAATCAAAGTACCTTGACTCATGGAGGCTGAAGTAATGATACTTGATGGCTCATCCCACGGCTTTTAAAATGGGTTAGTTTACTTATATCACCCCGGTTTTTTGAGTGGATTAACTCTACTTGTCCCATTTATAATGTCTCATCCCACTTGCTAAATGGCTTATAATACCCCAGTTAATAAATGGGACAAGTAGAGTTAATCCACTAAAAAAATGGGGTGATATAAGTAAACTAACCCATTTTAAAAGGCCATGGGATGAGCCGGGAAATCCAGCCCCAGGCCGCCGAGCTCAGCGCGCTGCTGGCGGGTGAGGCGGCCGCAGAAGTGGCCAAGATCAGCCGGGATGAAGTGTGGCTAAGCTGCGCTGGTTGGTGGTCATGATATTCGGACATATTCTGGATGGTGGTTTCAAACATTTTTTATGTTCCATAATATATGGGATAATCCTTCCCATTTACTAATATTTTCAGAGGGGTTGAAACCACCAACCAGATAATTACAGGTTTGGAACATTTTCTATACCCCAATATACCCTGGTTTGGAACATGTTCTTTTCTGGTTGGTGGTTTGGAACATGTTTTTTTCCATGCTGGATATTATATGGTTGATTTGCATTAGTAGATTTTTGTAAAAATAAATCGATCTTAGTTTTGGGATACCCTTAACAAGAATGGAAACTAATAACTGCTTGGTGGTTTGGAACATGTTTTTCCATTCAGTTGGGAATAATCATCATCCCAACTGACGAAGTTCATCATTTTTCAGAGGGCTAGGTTGAAACAACCAAGCAGTAATGAGATATTGCAGATTGCTGGGATATTACATCATATAATCTATCAATATATTTGGAATATGATATCCTGGGAATCGAATATCTTGAAGCCAATAAATAGTCCCAACAGGAGATGAAATTTAGCAATAGTCTCCACTTTGTCCAGAGAAGTAGCCTAAAACCAAGCTGTGTAGCTGTTCTTGACTCTAGCCCCAGTGGATGATATTACATCCTTTCTTGGCAAAACCCCCCACAATTGCTAGAAAGATCTACAAGTTGGATGCTGTACCGTACCTTTTGGTAATCTAATCTGGCCACAGAATATCCCCATGGAGGGGACAGTTGGTATTCCCATCTTGGCCACTTATTCGGTGAGATGAAACGAATTCAAACGATGGTCGTCATTGTCAAAGCATCAATTTTATGGCTTCAACTCACCTTCCAGATGTTCTATGAATTCTTCAGATACTACAGTTTATAGTGGAAATTGTCCCCTTGATTCTTCGGTCGAAAACTGCGTTGTTGGTGTAACATGTCCATGAATCATGTTGTTCCCATCTTGGTAACGGTTGATGGTGCTGAGGCAGGAAGCGGCGATGGAAGCTAGCAAAGCTGCAGCTTGGGGCAGCAAATTCTGTGGGGCGATGCTGGAAAAACACCTGGTGAATGGTAGTTTTGAGATTTGACCAGCTCAAATAATATTCAAACCAACTGATGGATGACTTGCCAGAAATGATGGGTAGAACGATTGGTGCATAGAGGTTTAGTGCCTAATTTGTTTGCTAAGGGAAAGTGTTCCCAACAAAAATGGGTGTTAATGGATCGATTGTTTGCCACAAACGGACGAATTTACAGCAAGACTAGAGTGACTAGAGCCTTAACCAGCAAACATGTGACATAGTCGGCTTGTTTTCAGCTTTCGTTTGATATCTAAGCATGAACTTTTTTGCGGGGTGTCTCAGTTAGCCAGGGTCGGGAAAGGACTGAAAAGCCATATCGTGGTTGGCAACAGCTTCAACAGCCAACAGGGCCCTTGGATAGGCTGGTGTTATCCCAAATTTTGGGCATCCAACAGAGCCAGAGCCTTTCTCCCCACAACTTGTTGGTTGAGCCCCGAGGTTGTGAAGACTGGTGAAGATGCCAAGTTACCCACAGAGAAGCTGGCCCAAGCCGCTGGAGAGGTAGGGATGGGACGGCGTTGAAAAAGATGGCGTTTTTGTTGAAAGTTTATGGGTTAGCTTTCAAAACTAGAAATGGATAATATACCATACAATTACCCAAGATATCCCAATTTTTTGATGGGGAAAATGAGGTTTACAACCCCTATTGACTTCGGTTTTCAGTGATCGACAGGCTGCCAGCAAAGCCGCGGTGGAGGCTGCGATCGCAGCAGGCGTGGGATCCATCACCGGAGGCTGCGATCGCACTTGGAGGATCATCCCACGAATCGTGGTTGTGGTTAGAGGCAGCCTACGGGGTCCCCAATTGGTGGGCTTATCCCATTTATGGTATAGAACTCTATGGTTACTACTAGGTTAACATTCGTGGGATCCTCCAAGTAGGACCGGCATGACATTGTGGATATGAAAGAACCAAGAAGCATGGTGGATGTGTTCAATAACATTTTACTTGCCAACCAGAGTGTTGATATGACTTACAGTCATGTCTACTCGCTTCAGATTCTTAATCAGAAAGGCTCCACTAGATTTAGGTCGGTAACGACATGTGTTTTCTTCCACGGCTTTGTTGCCCTTAGATCAACCTGGTGTCAGGTGTATCTGCAGATCGGGCCGCCGAGGAAGCTGGCAAGGCACGGAGGAAGCTGATTTTCACCATGCGGGGGTTGCAGATTTGTCCCCAGGCTTTCCTGGGGATGTGGCAATGGAAACTGTGCAGAAAGGGTGGTTCAAATTATTGAACATATCTGTGTCATATTTTCAAGTTACTTCATTGAGTTTTCCAAGTGGTGGATTTTGAAGCTGGTTGCTGATCTCGGATGCTGATCTCGGATGCTGTTGAGTCTTTGCAGCGCGAAAGGCCACGGCAGAAGCTGCCATGAGAGTTGGCATCTCTGAGCAGCCGCCTGGTGTGATTCAGATAGGTTGCTTCCCATGGTTATTTTTGGAAAAGTACTGTAAATTCTCATATACTAACGTACATAGTATTGGTGATTATTGGGATTATCATATTCTATATATATATACGAATGTTTGATACCTCTATTGGTGATCAGTGATGGTTTATAATTAGCAGATAATTAGCTTTACCACATTAAGCATGAAAATTGTGCTGGGCTACTTCTACTTCTCACCAAATAAGCTGCGCCACAGAGCTCCCTCAATAATTCAGGAACGCTGCCAAGTTGGCTGCTGCAGCCGCTGGGCAGGTAGCTGGGTTCCCATTAAACTCAGGGGTTCTTTGGGTCCACAGGGGGTGAACTTTCCGGACCATCCCAACTATCCCCTGGGATATTTGTTGCCATGTTGATGGGGCATTGGCGAATGACCTGGTGCTTTAGCAATTGGCCATGACCAGTTTGTTGCGGATCTAGAAATGGGTGTGCTTCCTTTTCAGTCAAATATGGCTGACTGTGGCTGACTTGAAATGGGTTTTCTGCAAACTCACAGAGGCTGCTCTTGTAACTCTTGTATTGGTGATGCTTGGAATGATGTAGCTGCTTCAGCCTTTGATAGTCAAGGTCCCTCCCATGAGTGTTGGCTTACTCCGTGAGGACTAGTTCATGATGTCCCCAGAACTATAGAATTCACCCAGTTAACCAACTTAGCCATGAATCAGCGATCCCATGAAATTCACCATTCGACAGTGGGTTAGATCACCAGGGGCTCCACAGGCGGCCCAAAGCATGCTTGGCAGCAGCGGGGCAGCGGCGGCTGCAGCTGCAGCGGCAGCAAAGGCGGCAGGGCTTCAGCAGGACCAGCAAGATGGTTTCATATCTACATGTATCATGTATCTATTGACATTTATCTATCTATATATATATATATACACGTATAACCGTATAACTATACATATTCTATACATGAACAAAATTATATATATAATATATATTCTATATATATACATATATTCTATATATATATATATTCTATATATATATATATCTATATATATATATGTATTATACACTGTTTCTGCGTGTTTCTGTGTATTTCTGTGTAATGTCAAGTTAGGATTAATAAATCCCGCGGTATTAATCAACCCCCTCTGCCCATTTTTTTTTGTAATTAAAAAAAGGTGGTCCCCCAGGATTAATAAACCCTTTGGCTGGGACATGATTAATCAACCCCCTGTGCTGAAATCCATTTTTTAATCCAAAATTCTTGATAAAAATCATCACCCTGGACATGAATCTAATGAAATCCATTAGAATCTGATGGGATTCATGAGGTTTTAGGACTTAAATCTTATGAAATCCAGTGGGATCTGATGGGATTCATGAGATTTTAAGTATCAAATCTAATTAATCCAATGGAATTCTATGATGATCTTATTGACTCAAGCCATATCCCATTTTTTATGGTTCAGAGTGCTTATTATTAACGGGGGATCAAGAAAATGACCTACAAGGTAGAGTTCTGACCTTCTGGAGGGGGGGGGAGAGGGTTGATTAGTCCGATGTTGCCATTATATATTTACATACAGACATGCCAGTGTCGAAATGTTGGGTCATTGTTTCTGATTTTTTGTTACACCTCAGAAGGCCATTGTTTACCTCTTGGGATGCCTTAATGTGACTGTCCCTACCGACTGCGAATCGCCAAGCGTTTCTTGTCAGTCTTGAAAGGATGTGTGTTAGCTTAGGGGACCCTGAAACCTTACCTGTTCTAGTTTATAGAGGTCTACAACATACAAAAGTACCATCATCAAGATCATTTGTGTTTCCCGTTTTTCCGATGGAGACCCCTACTTAAACCAATGTCGTGCCAACTCTTCCACCGTTTCAGGAGGAGGCGGCCGAGGCGGCTGTGAAGGCCGCTGCTACTGCGGTGCAGCAGCAAGCATTGCCCACGGACGCCTGGATGTAGATGTGATCATGTTCCAGGGAGATTCCCGATATGTCTTTCAATGTTTTTGGGGATGTGGCCAGAAGCAAAGTGCAGATGACTAATGTGATAAAATGACATATACATTATACATATACATATATATATTGTAAAAACTCCTGCAGTAAAACCATGTATTGTATATATCATCGATCTGCCCGATAGCGTTGGTTCAAAAGGACTGAGAGCTGAACGGATTGTGGTTTAGCCCCATTATAGTTTATACTATATTGTTGGCTGACCTGTGAATATACAGGTTATCAGCCGTAGTCTCACTACTTTGCTATGGGGACCCCAATTGACCATCCTCTCGCCGTTCCAGGGTCAGGTCCATCGGCTGTCGCCGTGCCTAATATGGCCGGGGGCAACCCTGAGCCGATGGATGACGAAACAATGTTCCAACCCGTTGTTGCGTACTTTACCTTCATACAAAACAACCTGTCCCAGATTACTAGTGGGAATACCCTGCAAGTCATGAGGGAAGCTGAACAGAGGCACCTTCAGATAATGCATGGAGTAGTTGACGCAATTCGAAACGAATGGTCAAGTAGACTCGTAATGCAGGAGCAGGAGTATGAGCAAAGGCTGCAGGAGGTTGAAGGTAATGCCATTAGTGCCCTCAACGAGGAGAGGAAACGAGGCGACGAGATGGAGGTCAGGTTGAATCAGGCTCAGGCATCGCATGACAAAAGAATAGAGGATGTAAAGGCAGAGGCAAACACAAAGCATGATCAGAAAATTGCAGAGGAAAGGAAACGTATCACTAGTGAATTCGAAGCTTCCTATGCACAGACAGTTGAACATGCAAAGAATGCCATAGCTGCCACAAAGAAGCAATATGAAGATCAGGCTGCAATTGATCAGGCCAGGTTCATCAGTTTGAGGACTGAGTTTGAGAACTACAAGAAGGAGATGGCCGACAAGATCAACGAGGCAGCGGCTCAGAACCTTAGCCTTCAGGACCAAATCGATGATCTTCAGGAGCAGTTAAAGCATGTTGCCAAAGCGCAGCATGCCTCCGTTCCGAAAGCATCCGTCCAGAACGCCGAGCCGGCCGCTACCACTAGCGTGCCCCACTTCAATATTGCCACTCCCAAAGCATCCGATGCACAGGCTGCCAGAGGCAGTGATGAGCCGATTCTTGAGTTTAAGACGCCTGCAGTGTTGGCGCAGGAAGCAAAGGCCAAGTTGGATGAGCTGCTCAAAGGTGGCAGTCCCAAGCAAAAGCCGGCTGTCGGCAACGACCAGCCCCAATTGCCAACGCAGTCAGGGTTTTTCACTCCCACTGAAGCTATCAAAACTCCCCCAAATGAATCTCCTAAGAGCGCAACCAAGCAACAGCAAGTATGGGTCCCTCAGATCTTATTGAATTGGTGAAAGCCTTAACCCAAAGGGAAGAAAAGGATAAGCCAAAAACTAAGGAGGCTGAACTCATCAAGCTGAACAACATGCCCGCTCCGGAGTCATATAGAACTTGGAAGAATCATGTCAGGGATGAAGTGAAAAGCTGTTCAGATCGCCCGGATGAGGCGTGGCTCTGGCTTAACGAGGTGTACGATCAAGAGTGCACCAGAGAGCAGTTGGAGAAGAAACTCCAAGATCCTGGAAAGTTCCTCACGCTGGAGACAAAGTTATCAGCAGCGCTCACGCGCTCAGCCGGAGGGGACCTCGCAACTAGGATCTTGAATTTCAAGGAGCAGCAATCCCGAAAAGGCATCCAGGTCAGGGGAAGATATGTTCTGCTTATGTTTGAGGACTACTTCAAGACATCAGAAGAAGCAGGTAGCCTTTACAGAGTAGAAGATCTTTTGGGTGTTGTCAAAGTAGGCGATACTGTCCAGGATCTCCGAAGATTCATCAACAAATGGGATGCTACCCTAGCTGGCATGGCTGTCACCCCTGATGATGCTGTGTTAAGGGACATCTTGTTGAGGCAGATCCGACCAAGTCAGTTGCTGAAATATGACATCGAGGTGTTTGACCGTGCTCATGAGAAATCCCATGAAAAGTCTTACAGTTTTCTTCACCAATCCATGAAGAACTTGATCGATCGTGAACGATTGAGGGAAAACAGGAACCGCATTGCGGAGAAGAACAAGGCTGGGATTAAGGACGCAAAGGCCGCACCCGCCAAAGGCGATGGTCGTGGCGGCCGAAAGGGCTCTCCAAGTCGCGGTAGATCGCAGGAACGAGGTGGCAAAGGTGATAAGATTTGCTATAAGTTCCAAAAGGGTACCTGTGATAAGGGGAAGAAGTGTCCATTCAAGCATGTCAAAGATGATAAATCTCGAACTCAATCACCCAGAAGAACCAAAACACGTTCACCATCAAGGGGCAATAAGGATGATAAGGGGAAGAAGATGTCCAAAGAAGAAATGGCCAAAACCCCATGCATCTATCATGCCCAGGGAAAGTGCAGACGTGGTGACAAATGTTTTTATAAACATGATGACAAAGCCGCTGCCGCCACCAAAGACACCAAAAGGGCCAATTCACCCGCTCCCAAGAAGAAGGGCAAGGATTCCACAGCCGCTCCATGTCTGATCCAGAAGTTTGCATGCATCGTCCGAAAACAGCCGAAGGCAACTTCGTGCTCTGATGAGGCAAGTGTCAGCATGAAGCGTCTTAGATTCCGAAAGGCCCCACATGTGATCGAGGTGAAGGCAGTTGGTCGTCAAGTCCCAGTCAAGCACCGTCCAAGAGAGTTCACTAAGGTGTACAAGACAGCTGAAGATGTTCCAGTTTCATCAAAGGTTGAACAGCATGAAGCTCAGGTTCGTGCAAGACAGCTCCAAGAAACTGTGAAACTTCATGATTCAGATGTTGCACCAAGTTGTGGGTTTTGTTGTTGGGATGAGGACACACGTGACGTCACATGCAAAGAGTGCAGGTTCATCAGCGGTCCCAAAGCCCTTAGAGACATTGGTCGTTTCCCGTCAATTGCCACAGCTGCGCCAAAGGCCGGCGTTAGTTGGCTTGTTGACTCAGGTAGTGAATCCGATCTTGTGTCCAAAGGAATGCTGAGGGATGTAAGTGCCAAGAACTGCCGTGCAGCCGAGCATCCGATTTCCTTAGTCACAGCCAACGGTTCGACTGAGGCAAACGAAGTTGCTGATGTCAAGTTGTCCGCATTGCCAGATCCCGTGCATCCGTATGTGCTTGATCATACCCCAGCTGTGCTCTCTGTAGGAACGAGATGCGTAGATCAGGGTTACAGTTTCGTATGGCCTGCCAATGGCAAACCAATCCTAGTCCGTCCAGATGACAAGGTCGTCCAGCTCAAGATCGAAGGTCATGTCCCAATCTTGGATGATAGTTGCAAGGTTTATCCCAAAGATCAATTTCAAAAGGACAAGCACCTCAAAAAGTTGTTTGCAATGCCGACCTCACGGTCGAGCTCAAAAGCCAAGCGGGACGAAGCCCAAGATGAAGAGCAGTTGGATGAGCTGGTGGAGGATGACGCTCAGCAGGAGTACATCCGAAGCCGCAAGACTGAGGATCTGTTGGCTGAAGCTGCAAGTACCCAACATCAGTACACGCATTTCCCCAAGAACCCCTTTTGCAGAACCTGCCAACGAGCAAGGATGATGGCACCTCAGGCACGAAAGAAGGGTGGTCAGAAGAGAATCGAAACTGAAGTGTTTGGTGACCACATCATTGGGGATCACGTCATCATTAAGAAAAATGTAGAAGAGGGTTTCAGGGGGGAGCAAGTTGCGTTGGTGTTGAAAGATCTGCACACCCAATATCGGTATGTCTACCCTAGCCAGTCCAAGGACTCACAAAGCTGTGTTGATGGTTTGAATCACTTCATTGGATCAAAGGATGATGTTCAAGTTGTGTACACTGACAATTCCCCAGAATTGATCAGGGCCATCAAGGATTTGGGTTACAGACACCAAACTTCCATTGAATACGTAGATTCATCAAAGTCTTTTGCTGAGCGCGAAGTTCGTCAGATGTTGGAAGGTGCCCGGAGCAACTTGTTGCAATCAGGACTTCCTTTGAAGATGTGGCCATTGGCCATGCAGCATCATGCGACCGCAATCAATGCAAGCCCCCAGCTTGACGGCAGTGATTCCCCATGGCAACTCAGGTTTGGTGAGGAGTTCCCTGCAATGCACATTCCATTTGGTGCCAAAGTGTTGTTCTGGAATAACCCCAAGAGGTTGGATAACACATCAGGTAAGCTCTCCCCAACAGCAAATGAAGGAATTTTCCTTGGGTATTACATCCAACCAGGTCATGATTGGAAGGGCGAATACCTAGTTGCCAAGTTGGAAGCCGCAGATTATCATGTCAACTGGGGTGCACTGACAATCCAAAGAACAAAGAGGTTGGAATTGCCATCCGAGGGTTTCATCTTTCCTTTGAAAGCTCTGATTGACTCGAAAGCACCCAAAGCCGATCGCCTCGAGGACCAGGTTATTCCGCAGACACCCAAAGCTGTGCCTCTTGAGTCCAGTTTGCATCCACCGCAAGATGAGTATGAATACGAGCCAGGTACGCCTCTACCAGCCGACAGCGATGTCGAGCCTGATGCACCCGAAGCGCCCGTATTTCCAGATCTCAAATTGACCCCCAAAGGTGAAATTATTCCAGATGGACATCATTGGGATGGTCACCGGATTGTACGTAACTACAAAGGTTCAAAGCGTCCGGAGGGGATCGACTCAGAACTGTGGAAGATGTTAGGACCCCAAGATAGGAAGCTGATCATCGAGGAAGAAGCAAAGAAGGCAGCCAAGGAGCAGGAGGAAAAGCCAGCATCATCATCTGGCAGCAAGGGCAAAAAGAAGAAATCTTCACCGGCCCGGCTTGAGGCAACTCAATGCCCTCCTGCAACTGCAAAGCTCGTAGGCAATGTTTGGGAAATCATTCCAGCCAATTCCCAAAAGTTTTCCGTGCCGGCAATGCCAAAAGTTGCCGCGCCTGCCACAATTGAGCACCGGCCTCGAATTAGAGAG